GAGAATATTTTCTGTACCCTTGCTCATATGCAGTAACGGCCAATATTCTGAACAGCAAAAATATTCAAAGCTGAACAGTAAATAACAGAGATAAATTATAAGCAACTGCATAAAATCTCTGCATACCAGCTACTATAAAACATTGTGCAAACAAATTGTGTGACTGATTGCTTAGATATAAACCCTCCACTTAATACAAATATTTAAACAGGTATAAAGCACTTATAAAAGTTGCAGAAATTATGACACATTAAAAAACCTATCTATTGTAAAACAAATTTGATGAGTCCACTATATAACTCTACTTCACAATCTCAAATGTGCCCTATTTTTCTTGCCTCAGTCATTCCACTAATATTTATTTATATACCAGGCAATGAATCATTATTTTCTAGCTAATCATCTTTTAGGTCCAGCTTAGAAATGATTTCCTTTAGAAGAACTATACTCAATACCTCAAAACCAGGCTAATATTTATTTCCTAGCATGCTGCCCTTACTCCACATAAGCTTTTCCTTCCTTGTTTTAAGTTCCTATTTACTTATTTGTATCTACCCAGAAGACTTTACGTATAAGGGACTATCTCTTTTTTTTTTTCTTTCTTTTTTTTTTTTTGGAGACAGAGTCTTGCTCTGTTGCCCAGGTTAGAGTACAGTGGTGTCATCACAGCTCACTGTAACCTCTAACTCCTGGGCTCAAGCCATTCTCCTCCTGCTTCAGCCCCTACCCTCCCGAGTAGCTGAAGCATACTACTACACACACCACCATGCCCAGCTAATTTTTTATTTTTTGTAGAGATGGGGTCTTGCTGTTCCCCAGGCATATCTCAAATTCCTGGCCTCAAGCAATCCTCCTGCTCCAGCCTCCCAAAGTGCCAGGATTACAGGTATGAGCCACTGTGCCCCGCTGGCTAGGACTATCTCTTATCAACTAAATTACTAAAACTTAGCTAGACAATGTGAACGGAATCATTACTGAAACAGATACTTGCCAGTGTGCCCAGCTGAAATAGGTGAAATCATATCAAGCTTCAACCATTTTGTTAAGGGGCTCTCAAAACATTTTAGTACCACAGACTCTTTTAGCAATA